GTTTTACCTGCAGATATACCTGTACACATGTACATTCAGGGCACACATAAACTAGAAGAGGATGTCAGATCCTCTGGAACTGAGGTTACCTACAGATGGTTATGAGCCACCATGTAGATGTTGAGAGTTGAACCTGAGTCTTCTGTGAGAGCAGTAAGTGTTCTTAACCCCTGAGCAAGTCTTTTCTTTCTCTCTCTCTCTCTTTCTGTCTCTCTTTTTCTTTCCTTCCTTCCTTCCTTCCTTCCTTCCTTCCTTCCTTCCTTCCTTCCTTCCTTCCTTCTTTCCTTCTTTCATGCCTTCTTTCTTTCCTTCCCTCCCTCCCTCCCTCCTTCCTTCCTTCTTTCTTCCCTCCCTCCCTCCCTCCTTTCTTCCCTCCCTCTTTTTTTTTCTTTTTGTTTTTTTGGGACAGGGTTTCTTTGTGTAGACCAGGCTGGCCTCGAACTCACAGTGATACACCTGCCTCTGCTTCCCTGAGTGCTGGGATTTAAGCATGTGCTACCACGCCCAGTTTAGCAAAGATTTTTCTAGGAGCTGCTCAATGGCAGTTTACTGGCCTAGTTTATATTACTTGGTCTACTTTAAACTCAGGCGGTGGTCTGGAGGCAGGGACAATTGAATCTTGATCTCTGTAAGTTCAGGCCAGCTCTGCCTCTACAGAACTAGATACCAATAGAAATTTTAAGCCTGGCGGTGGTGGCACACACCTTTAATCCCAGCACCCAGGCAGCAGAGGCAGAGAGATCTCTGTGAGTTTGAGGCCAGCCTCTTTTACAGAGTAAGTTTCAGTACAGCCAGGGCTACACAGAAAAACCCTGCCTTGAAAACCAAAACAAACAAAAAAGTACATTTATCTCTTAGCTTTCAGATCTTCTTAACATTTTCTCCTGATTTGTAGGCATTTATGATGCCACTGTCCTATCTCGTTTTGTCAAATCTGGTATACTCCCATCCCACTCTCATTTCACCATGTATAGACTACCTGGTCATTCTCAAAAGTGTTATTCCTCTTTCTTCTGCTTTTTGAACTTGGACCAGCTAGGCACATTTTTTTGGACAAGAGGACATGCATCTTTGACATCTGCTGGGTATGACTAGGGTTGTTAAAGTCCTATAAAGGGACAGATTAAGATTAGCCCTTCACACATTGAATATTGAGGAATGTTGATAGAGCAAACCCAGTTTTTTAGATAAAGTTACATGTTGCTAGACAGATATAATGGTTAGGTTTTCAATAATTGCAAAGCATTTTCTGGAGCATTTCATGGGTTACTTATGGTTTTATTAGTAGAATTTAGACTTTTTGTTTAATTTTTTTTTGAGCTGGAATCTCAGCAGCTCTGACTGCCCACAAACTTAACAGAGATCTACCTGCCTCTGCCTCCTTAGTGTGGGACTAAAGGCATGCACCACTATGACTGGCTAGAGTTTATTTTTATTGGTTAAGGATTTCAAACCTGCAAATAATATGTTTTAATCAATTTTACACCCTGAATGTATATTTTGTACCTTTTTGAACTTGAGTGTATTTAGTATGAAAATGCTGGGTGGAGGTTCCTTATTTCTTAGTACTAGAGTTAGAACTCAGGGTCTTAAATGATAAGGGGATATATCTCCAGGCCTTTTCTTTCTTTTGCATGCAGTAGTTTAAATCACATTGAAAATTCCCAGGGAACTTCTAAAAATACTGGTGTCTGGGTTGTACATCTAGGTTTTTACTGGTCAAAGAGATGGCTTTGGAATTTTAAATAACTCTCCAGGTGATGATTATAATGTGCACTTAGGATTGAACACTACTGATCTAGATGGATTAGAAACTATGCAGAGATAGAGTAATAAGGATTGCAAATTCAGCCGAATGAAAATGGATTTCATTTACTTGCAGAACATCTATTAAGCACCTGAGATCAAGATAAGTAAACCACTATAAGTCTTTGAGTGAACTGGAGCTCACAGCTCTGTCATTTTGTTTTTTCCTTAAGCCCTGATTCTTATAAAGAGATAGCCCATCCTTTCCTGGAGTCTTTAGGGCCTGGAAGCATCATGGATAACAAGTGAGGCCCCAGATCCGGAAGAAAATGAATGTGAAGTGAAGTGGACAGTAAAGCAAATAGAATGATTCCAGTAGCCCCCTGCAGACACCTTTTTCGCAGGGCTGGCACACACAGACACCAACAGGAATCAGGAGCTACACAAACAGTGGGCATGTGAGCAAGTATAGAACTGGCTTGCCAGAAATACATTCTGACCTGCTTGGTTTTACTGAAGGTATGCCCATAGTATACCTTTTACCCATTGGTCTTTATCTTGAAACCTGGCCAGAGGCTGCTTTTAGTCCATATTGCTCCTTTCTGCTAAGTGTACCAGTGAGAAAATCAGATGACCTCCATGCTGGCTTGATCAGCAAGCAACAACTGTGCACTAGATCCCATTTCCTTGGCCCAAGTGAGTTTATACTAGCTCTCCAGGACAGGTTTCTGGCCCATAACATTGCCTGGCCTATCACATACAGGATAATGCTGAATTTTCCCCTTCATTTGTTTTGTTTTTGTAGCATACAAACAAGAACTCTGCTTGGAGGCCTTTTACCAGGAGTATTGTGTCTTTTGTACACTCTCAAAACAAAATATCTGGTCTAGCCAAGGAAGAGTGTGTAATGACATAGTGGCTTCCACATTGAGGGTAGCTTGTCTTGGTCTCAGTGTTCCTTTCCTTCCTGCTCTGTGCTTAGCTCAGTCACCTGCCCAGTGGACTGATCAATTAGGCTACGGTGTCAAACACAAAATTGAACTCAACAGGTTTATTTCATGTGATCAAGTTTGCAAATCAGATAATTTTCCCTATTTATTTATTCGTTCGTCCGTCCGTCCATCCATCCATCCATCCATCCATCCATCCATCCATCCATCCATCCATCCATCCATCTATCTATCTATCTATCTATCTATCTATCTATCTATCTATCTATCTATATCTATCTATATTGATTATATATAAATCTATATATAGGTATATGTGTAGCCTTGGCTGTCCTGGACTCACTTTGTAGACGAGGCTGGCTTTGACCTCACAAAACTCCTCCTGCCTCTGACTCCCAGAGTGCTGGGATTACAGGCATGCGCCACCGTGCCCAGCTGAGAGATTATTTTATACAGAAGAAAAGACCATAGTAAAACACAGGATGGAAACAAGTCAGGCTCAGAACGATGTTTTCTCTGAACACGTGTGTGCATCTATGTTTGTCAGTCATGACACTAGAAGGGATTAAGAAAAAGGGAGAAGAGATTCTAAGGGAGGTGAGAAATGGGTTAATGGAATTCATGTCACAAGAAAACAGAAGAGAGGACTAACTAGGTATAGGGGCCTGGGGATTGTCTCTCAAAAATAGGACAAGCCCAGACTTATATTCTGCCTTTGTGACCAACCTTCAGGAGATTATTTAGCAGTTGCTTCATATATATATGATAACTTCTTCCTTAAGGGTACCCTAAATTCAACAGAATCACCAGCCTTCTTCACCTGTCTCCCATGCTCTGTTTCACTTACCTAAGAGGATCCCAGAAGCAGCAGACCTTCAGCTGTCCTCCAGCCCACCGTTTTCTGTAGACCTATACTCAATCTTTTTCTGTTCCTGTCACTTCACTTTGTTGTGGCTATGGTCCATTCTTTGTCATCAAACACTGCTGTGTAATGGACTCCTTCACACAGAGGTGAAAATTTCCTCATTTTAGCCATCTCTTAAGAGCCTCTGCAGCCAAGCATTACATGCCCCAGTTTTTTTTTTTAATTTAAAAGGGTTATTTACTTTTGTATGTGTCTTTGCACCATTTGCATGTAGTGCCTGAGGAGGCCAGATGGTTGTAAGCTGCCCTTTGGGAGCTGGGAATTAAACCCAGATCCTCTGGAAAAACAAATAGTGCTCTTTAGTGCTGTGATATCTTTCCAGCCCCAACTCTATATACAATTCCAGTTGTATACAGAGCACTTATAATTATTCTTTGTAGAGAAAGGAGCTTTTAAGTGAGAAGAATTGTTTGGAAATTGCTCTGAAAGCAAAATGAATAAAAATGAATGCATGTGTGGAAAGGTGGGAGAACTGTGTTTCAGGAGTAAGAGTGAGTTCCTGAAGCCAAATGAAAAAAAAAGTGAGATTAAATGTACACATAAGGTTGCTGTCACACATTCTTCGGTTTCTTACTTAAACAACTCTTTCAAAATGTACACCATTCTTAGCCTTCCAGTCAGTATGAAGGTTAGTTGAGAGAGCCTAGTTTGCACTTCCCCATCTTCCCCTCCTCCTGGTTAACTAAACTTGACATAACTATCTGGGGATCCTTTGTGAAAATTAAGTGCCAAAACAAGTTCAAGCCACACAAATTTCCATCACTGGAGAATGGTAAGTGGTTACAAAGTCTCACCCCTAGTTAATTCCTGCTGGGAGAAGGAAAATTAGTCTTTTTTTTTTTTTATGGAGTGACACTGGGCATATCAACCACACTCGATGATAAGCCTCATGCTCAGGAAAACCAAAACCAGAACAAAAAAATCATATGCCCGAAGGAGATGAGGAGATAGCTCATGTGCTAAAGTGTTTGCCTTATGAAAATCTGTGTTCCGCCCAGAACCCCTGTACCAAAGCAGGGTGACATGTTCTTGCAATTTCAGTGTTTAGTAGGTGGCCCAGGGCTCCTGACCTACACACACCCGCCACTCACGTGCATACATATACATGCACAAAAGGAATCAATTGTTAGCCCTGGATAATATGACTCGTCTGTAGACTTAATTTCAGGGCCCAAGGAGTAGTATTAAAAATCTTAGTGCTTGGCCCTGTTGTGTAAATCTTCCACAAGTGGCCATGTTCAACCTCTCAACTCCAAATCGGAACTGAAAAGAAAGAGAATTAACTCTGTCACTGAAAGAAAAGAAGAACTGTGTTTTTTTCTTGATTGGGGCTGTTTCGTTTCTTTTTGAAGTTCCCTGATAACAGTTTCTAACAGTAAAACTACACTTTCTTTTGTAGCTTTGCCAATTTGAGAATTTACCCACATGGATTGGTGTTGCTGGACCTTCAGAGTTACGACAGTGATGTGCAAGGCAAACAGGAAACTGACAGTGTTGGTTTTTCACATTTTCTTTTCCCTTTCAAAATGTACATTTCCTTTCCCCAGATTTAAGGTTCTTAAAATCTACTTAGCTTAATGAATGTTGACTTTCAAGTTAGCTAAAATTGAAACTTGCCTCTCTTGCATGTAAGTAATTTGACAGAAGAATTAATCTTCATCTGTTTTGTAAACCTAACTGTCAGCTTTCCTTTTAACTTCGTGAATGAAAGGAGTGGTTTCACTTCCTACTAGACAGAATGTAGAAACTTTGTGTATAGTTTTGCATATGCAGTATCCCATAGCTTTCTTCCCAGTTATTCTCTTGGAAACATGCAAGCCGTGGTTCGGGCAGCACTATAAGGGAGAGTTAGTGTGGGAGGGTGGAATTGGACCAGGGCAGGAAGTCCCACTAGGGATGAAGGGGCATATGTATGAGCCAGTATCACACTGTGGTCAGCATACCCTTATGCCTCTGCTCTGTAATTTAGTTGTACTGTGCAGTTTATACTCTAAACCTGCTGATTTCTTTTAATTGTAGCTTTTGAACAAAATAGAAGAAAAGATGAAAGAACTGAGTCAAGACAATACTGGGCGAGTTAAGCGGTAAGTCTTAACTATTCATTAATGTCCTTTCAATATTTGTTTAATTGGTAAAAATAATTGGAGTGGCAATGTTGGTATTAGTGTCTACAGAAGATACGGCGAAAATCCAAGTAAATTTTTAGCTTGCTACTGTGTATGCAGTGAACTAAATGATCCTCTCATCTTCATCCCAAACAGGACAAAATATATAAAACAAATGATGGAGGGACTGCGTATAATGAGGCAGAAAGTTGATACTGGGTAATTCCAACAAGCTGAAGCTAGGTAAAACAGAAAGCCAGGCACAGACAGACATGGAGGGAATTTACCCAGATCACTGATGTGCTGATCAGAATAGAGTAATGTTTTCTCTGTCTCACAGCAGATTTCAGAAAAGGGAAATCCTTATTGGCAAAGGTAGGATGTTTAAACACTTAATGACGCACTTTGCTGAGTTTGATCAGCCCACAGGAAAGCTCTAGGGCATATATGGGATAAATAGGTAATTATTAGCCTCCTGTAGCTGGTTAGGTAGGGAAGAGCAATGGGATGCCTGAGAGTCCTAGAAAGAACCATCCATATGTGAAACTTGCCTGTGTTTGATGGCTGAGGACACAGATTTTTTTGTAAATCTCACCCGAGTTCATTTTAGTAGTCCTTGGCTACGTCTCTGCCCACACTGCTTTCTGGATGCTTCTTCTTTTTGCTGCTTGAAATTTTTTTAATCTGTATTCATCTGAATTAAACAAGTTCCTACTCTGGGAAAATGAATTGGCTCACACCAAAATGTGGTCCTTTTTTATCAACTTTGCTTCTTGGTGTCAGTAAATAGAAAGTATTTCTGGGACTGAGGAACTTGCTCAGTGAGTTAAAACACTTACTGTTAAATTTGAGTTGAATACCCATGACCCATTTGGTAGAAGGAGAAAACCGAATTGTGCAAAGCCAACCTGTTCTAGTTGTCTTAAATACGAAGTTTGACTAAGAAGCCATGGGATTTATATAAAGACTCATCTTGTTTTTAAGTGAGAAGGAACAAGGAAATAAACCTTACCTAAAGTTTCAATTTGGGGGAAAAATATCTCACAGTATATACAGTGTACTTTAGGCCAATAACACATGGACACAACTCGCAAATCCAGCTTTGATTTTGAGTAGGGAAGATAGGTTTTGTAGGACTGCATAGGGTCTCTTGGTAGCGCACTGCAGGGAGTCAAACTTCATGTTGCCCTTGAACTTTTATCAAGCTGATGGCTTCCATATCCTGATCTTTATTTCTTTTCCAGGCTTTTAAAAAATCTAGAGAAAAGAGCTCTTCAGGAACTCAGGCAGTGTTGAACAATTGAGAGCAGACATTGTTTATACCTATTTAGAACTGGCTGGCTGTCACCTAGGACGGGCGTCCTCTCCTGAAATCCTTGACTTTGTATTCAGCATTTGTGGGAACTCTTTTTTTTTTAAAGTTATTTAATTATAATTGTGCGCGTATGTTGATGAGATTTGTTTACTTGTCAGCAGATTGTGGCTGTACTATTGGAAGCAGGTGAGAGGAGACCAAGGAGTGAGGCAGAAGTAGTGTGTTCCAGCATTGTTGGACCATATGCGCAGCTATATGTAGTACTACTTTCATTATTGAGTGTGCAGTGTGTTCTCATTTTCTTAGGGTTAGATTTTCCAAACCCCTTTTTGGTGTTTTTTTTTTTTTTTTTTCCTGTCATTCAGTGCCCTCTGCTGGTAGCTTCTGGTATATTCTGGTATATTCTATAGCCTATCAGAAATGCTTGATTATTTACAAAAGGATGGAGTGAGAACGCTTGTTATTTTGGTACTTCTCCAGGAATGATTGCCTTAGACAAGAAGTTTTTAAATCCCATTGCCGTTGGTAAATAATTATTGATGTAGTACTCAGTTTCTGAGGTCCACAGAACAGCCTCCTTAGTGGTGTCAGAGAGTGAAAGGGACATTGTGGTGAGAGCCCCAGCAAATACTTCTGTGGTTCAATAACATCCTCTTCACATCATCAGAGGTACAAGCTTCCTTGTATTCCCACTGAGACATTTGGATGCTCTTTGCCAACCTGACTCAAATCAGGAGGAACTCAGCTAAATCCACATGAAGTATGACTGCCAGATGTCTAATCTGGACTTTGTAGAGACAAATTAGGGAAAGACGAGTAACAAGTGAAATGACTTGTTAAATGAGTAACAAGTAAAATGAGTGTTTAAAAAAAGGTCAGGGAAAAGAAAATGTACTATTTGAAACTTTATTCAAAAGATTACAGCTGTAGAGGATATAATTGGGATTATTCAGGGTACTTGAAGATGAATTCTGACAAGATAATGGAACCTGCAACTGCAGTAATGACCAGGTGGTTTTATAGATTTTTGGTGATATGTACTAAAAAGTGTGATATCTACCATGACCATTTTTTTCCTTCAAGTTTTCATTAGGAAAAATAATTTTAAAGCATGCCAGAAAGACCTTCTTTCCTCTTATCCCTTTTAAGAGAAATGATTTTTTGCAGGTGTTGCAACTTGGTAGAGTCTGTACTTGTGAAGAGGTAAATGTCTGTGCTTTGGATTTGTTTTGTGCTTTTAGAGAATCTGTATCCAACAAACACATGACCTCTTTCTTCTTTTTAATTGTGGGTATGTACATGTGAGTCTAGGTACTGGCGGAGGAGATCTAGATATCTCCCTGGAGCTAGATTTAAAAGCAGTTTGTGATCCACTAGTCAAAAACCAAACTTAAGTCCTCTGCAGGAGCCATACACTCTCTTAAGCACTGTGCCATCTCTCTTGCCCATCATGGCTTTCTGTATACTCTCCATCTCAGGTCCTTTTGTAAGGCACTATTCTCCAAAGGCTCATTCCTATCTCTCCTCCAGATTACCACCCATAGTCCGAGGAGGGGCCATTGACAGATACTGGCCTACTGCTGATGGGCGCCTGGTTGAGTACGACATAGATGAAGTGGTGTATGATGAAGATTCACCTTATCAGAACATTAAAATTCTGCACTCAAAGCAATTTGGGAATATTCTCATCCTCAGTGGAGACGTTAGTAAGTATTCCACTCCTCCCTGATTGCCTAACAAGGTAGTGGTATGTTGGTGGCCATTGCTTTCCTGACAAATGCCATTATCTTAGAGTTGTCTGAGCTAAACTCTGACACTGCTATCTTTTAAGATTCACTTAGTTGTGTGAAACCACGGGTTGTTTGGAGTTTTGTGTGAACTTTATCTTGAAATAGATTATTTGATGAGTGGCTGGTTTGTTTTCCAATAGAAAATGCAGTTGGTTGTTTAAAACCAGCATTTTACTATGGACAAATTCCTACCTAAGTAGACACACTAGTGCAGTGAGACCACATGTACTAAGCAAAGGCCAGTGAAAATACCAATGAGTAGCCAATCTTATTTCATGTAATTCCAATGTATTTTGTTTGAAAGTGGCTCCCAGATGGCGTGTCTTGTCATCTTTAAAGGTGTCCTTTTTAAAAAAAATTAGTCAGAATATCAGCACATTCTCAAAATTGTATTTCATTTAAGTAACTTAGGTATTTTTGTCCTATGTGTCAGATGCATTAAGTTTGTGAAAACTACTTAATCCAAAAAACAACGTTGCACATTACAAACAGTTTTTAAAAGTTGGAAAATTTCTATTGCAAGCTCAATTCTAGCAGGTCAGGTTCTTTGTATATTTGGGTAGAGTCATCATTTGGGTCTCTTTTTTTATCTCCTTAGATTTGGCAGAGAGTGACTTGGCTTATACCCGGGCCATCATGGGCAGTGGTAAAGAAGATTACAGTGGCAAAGATGTACTGATTCTGGGAGGCGGAGATGGAGGCATATTATGTGAAATTGTCAAACTGAAACCAAAGATGGTCACGATGGTAGAAATATCCTTTATAAGAAAACAACATCAGGGACTCAAGAGATAGCTCAGTGGATAAGAGCACTTGCTGCTTTTATAGAGGACCTGGGTTTGGTTCCAAGCACTCACTTGTGACTAACAACTGTCTGTAATTCTAGTATCTGATATCTTCTTTTGGCCTTCTCTTAGGCAGCAGGCATACATATGATGCAAGTTCATAACAGCATGTATACACTCATACATATAACATTTAAAAAATGAGAGAGAACCCACCAATAAAAATTTCAAAACCAAATTTACCCTGCCTACCAGGTGTGCGGGGATAAAGAGCATACAGAGCAGAGATGGAGGGAAGGGCCAACCAATGCCTGGCCCAAACAAAGACCCACCCTATTATAGAGTACCAACCCCTGACACCATGAACAATACTCTGCTAAGCGTCCAGACAGGATCCTGACAGAGTTATCCTCTGAGAGGCTCTATGTAGCAGTGACTCAGAACAGATGCTGAGACTCACAGCCAAACATTGGGTGATGCACAGGGAGTCTTTGGAAAAGGAAGCAAAAAAAGAAAAGGAGCTGGAAGTGACAAGAGCTTCATGAGAAGACCAACAGAGCCAACTAACCAGGGCCCAGAGGCGCTTGCTGAATCTGAAGCATCAACCAAGGACCATGCATGAACTGGACCTTGGCCCCCTACAAAGATATGGCAGATGAGAAGCTTGGGTTCCCTAGTAAGGGAAGCATAGACTGCATCAGACAGATAGTCACGTGCTAGCTTTTTGATCATTTCCCTCTGGCGGGACTGCCTTAACTGTCAGCCCTGATGAAATTTGATGAGCTCTGCTGGATGGGAAAGGGAGATCTTCTTTTCTGAGGAATAGGTGAGGGGGGAAAGGGGAGCATGGGTCTGGGAGGTAAGGAGGGATGGGGCTACAACCAGGAAATAAAGTGAGTAAAAAATAAATTAGAAAAAATGAGAGCGAGCTAGCATGGGATACAGATAAGTAGATAGAACGAGGGGTGGGGGAGAGAACACAAGGTAAATACATTTGGATTTCCCTGGTCCTCCTTTGCTATATTCAGACTCCAATGAGTATCTTCCCACACTCAAGGCAGATGGGTTACGTTGACTTCCTTGAACGAACATTTCAATTTATAGCTAGCAACCTTGTATGTGTCTACTAGTAGAGAAGCAGAGATTGTAGTATAGTTGTAAATTAGAGACCATCTATGTTGGGTCCCCCATCTGCTCCCTAGTGGTTGTCAAATGGCTTCACTAAGCTACTTGACGAGGGAAAAAAAAATGTAGTTTAACTTGAATGTCCTTAGTGTAAAAATAATCGTAACTTCCACTTTTTAACTTTATGATTCTCGGGTAGCTACAGTAAAATCTTTGTTTATCTGAACCTTTATTTTTTAGAGAGGACTTATTATTTCAGAATTCTTTAGTCCATTCAAATTCTCCTTAACCAGTATTGAACATTGACCAAATGGTAATTGATGGATGTAAGAAATACATGCGAAGAACATGTGGAGATGTCTTAGACAATCTTAAAGGAGACTGCTATCAGGTAATTATGTTTCCTTAATAATATACTTTGTTTTTTGAAATAAGGGTTTCTTTGTTTAACAGCCAGCCCTGCCTGTCCTGGAACCTGCTTTGCAGACCAGGCTGGCCTCAAACTTACAGAGTTTCACCTGCTTCTGCCTCTCAAGTGCCAGGATTAAAGGCATGCACCACCACTCCCAGAATTGTTAATATACTTTTAAGGTGACTGAAAATAGAATTACAGAAGTGATCAATTGGACCTGTACCCTTTAACATAATTGGCTTAGAAGATAGTTGGTTTGTGTGAGTGTAGTATCTGTTCATATTTAGGGGAGACAGTATATAGATACTGAAAGAAGCCACTACTATGCATTCTATCAGGTTACATTTGTTGTTATTGAGGAATAAACTTGGCAGTTCTGTATGCTACACACCCAGTACACTGAGTAATCATTCAAACCCGCACTAATCCTGGTATACAAGATGTCATGTACTTTTTAAATGATGTGGCATATACCACCTTCTGTCGCTGCCCTGAATCATGTCTTGAAGTCTTGGTCTTTCAGAGACAACTCAGATTTTTAATTGGTAGGTGTAGTTGTTTAAAATGTTGCAAACAAGCGATTAGTTTCTGTCCTGCATTGTATTGTGCTTGAAAGTTAAACAGCCACTCTGATGTGTGATGGTGCACAGAGTTCATAGTCATAGACACAAGGACTTGTTAGAGCAAGATGCCCAAGCAAATACTTCATTGAACAGAATCTGAAATGTATACCTCCAGATTTGTAATAAATTTGGATGACTTCTGTACTTCGGAATGTTAATTATCTAGCACTTCTTTTTACCCTAATGTATGTATGTACATTTAAATTTGAGTTTGTGTTACATATATGTTAATTTGAGGCAGGAATTCTGTCCACTTTAAAATGCAATTGTGATTGTTTTGTGAGCCAAAGGACAAGAAAGATTACAGTTAGCTTATCCTGTAAGATAGCTTTAAAAGGGAGTGTGGGATTCAGCTCTATAGAACATTAGCTGAACTGTTTCACACTGAATTCAAAGTTATGTTGGCTGACAAATAATGGACAAGGCTCCCTGCTTGCTGGACTTAATCTGCCAGCCTAACTACTAGATGTTTTTCTGTTATATTGGGAAGAGCACAAATAAATAACCTTGAATAAACAAACCATAGAGAGTTTAAAGGAAGTTTATTCAACGTTGTGGGGTACAGGAGCTGCAGAATCCTATTATTCTGGCTTTTGAAAAGATAAAGGAAAGATCAGAAGAACAAAGCTAGAACAGCAGTACAATCTAGGTGTTTGTATGATAGCTGACCATCAAGGCACAGGTGATGGGCCAGGTGGTCAGATGTGTGCAGTAAGGGCAAAAGACTGTTTTTCATGGGATTTTGGTGTGCAGTTGGAATATATCAGGAGACTATGTGACTTATGCTAAAGCTACCTGGTATAGGAATTTAGAATCTTGAGGGTGGCAGTGTTCAGTGCATCAGAACAACCACCAGGGGGAGCCTGGGCTTTTTTCTTTTCTTTGATGCCGAGAGTTCTGAAGCTTTCAAGCAGGGTGGGAGGGAGCTTTGTCTGGGAGAAGACAGACCCACCTGAGCATGCAAAGGCATGCAAAGCAATTAAAATGTTGCTTTCAGAAAGGCAGAGGGTTTTACATATATTTAAACAGTTATTTAGATTAACATTTGTTTCAGGAAATAATTATTTATTTTTATCACAACAGTAAACGTGATACTGAACTATACATACTATGCCAAGAAAACTAAGAATGGATTATTTATGTGTATGTATGTATTTTGTTTATGTATGTACATACAGAACTATCAAGTAAAATAAGTTAAATTTAGCAACTTACATTTTAAGTCTATTATACTCAAGTAGGATTTCATTCTAAAAAATTTCAAGAGAAGAATTTTCAGAAATCTGTTACTGATGTTTTCAGTTTAATCACTACTTGGGCAAGTTGTCTGCTTTCCTTAAAGATACACACACTGGCCAGGTAGTGGTGGTGCACTCCTTTAATCCCAGCACTCAGGAGGCATAGGTCGGGGGATGTCTGGGAGTTTAAGGCAAGCCTGGTCTACATAGTGAATTCTAGGACATCCAGGGCTACACAGTGAAACCTTGTCTCAAAACAAACAACAACAAAACCAACACACACACACACACACACACACACACACACACACACACACACATTGTAATGAAATAGTGGCAAAACAAGTCTGTTATATTACATTTCATAAATAATTTAAAGGAAAAACATAGCTAACATTAATAAATGATAAAGAATGTAAGAATGTTTACCAGTCATTCTGAATAATAATTTCCATAGAAGCCAAGAGATAGCTCAGATTGTAAATTGTTTGCTGTGTAAACATGAAATCTCCAACACCCATGTAAAAGTGCTGGGGATATAGTGGCATGTGAATATAATCTTAGCATATTGGGGAAGCAGAGGCAGGTAGATGCCTAGGCCAGTCCATCTTAATAGGAGTGCTTCAGGAGAGTGAGAGACCCTATCACACTCCAGTTTGACTTCTGGTTGACACACGCGTGCGCGCGGACACACACACACACACACACACACACACACACACACACACACACACTGTAATAGAGGAAATCCACCAAAACATAAAGGAAGTATCAGAAACTCAATAGTAAATGATAAGGTTAAGGAATAGATTAGGTGGCAAAAAGTCATTTTCACTGAAGTAGGAACCAAATTATACATGTTGTGTGTCTGAGTTTATCCTTAATTTTGAAGCCACTAGTAATAGTAAGATAGGAAGATAAAAGTCATAAGAATAATAAAATAATTATAAGTGATAAGAGTGGTTAGAAAAATCCAAGAAATTTACTATGACAATTACTTGGACTTCTGAGAAATTGGTTCAGTGATTAAAGATTTAGGTGATTTAGGAAAGATTCTTTTTCTCTGTGCTGAATGTAGAGCAGTGTGAAAGGAAATTGGGAGGTGTGTGACAGGAAATCCTACTCAGTCTGCTAAATAGTTAGATATAAACTTAGCAAGTGGTATTATGAGACTGATGTGAGGCATGTGAAGATTTTACTGAAAGACATGTAGTGGAGTGGGTGGAGAGTCATGGTCTATCTTTTACATGGTAATAGCATAAAAGTTTTCATGGCTTCTCATTTATCCTAATTTTCATCAAAGCACTAAGGGAGTGAGACCAACTGATGTTTTCAAAGTTGCTTTTATTAAACCAAATGTCTAAGAATAGCCAAGAGAACCTCAGAGAATAATCATTGTAGAGGGAGACTTCTGCTTTTGATTGTTAATTTACTACAGGCCCTGTAATCAAATAGGAAATCAGACACAGACTCTAGAAAGATAACAAAGGTGTCATGGCAGCTTGAATTTGTGTTAAGTGCGTATTCCAACACATTGCTAACATACTATCCAAAATATATCTTATTTCCCTTGGATAAAGATTTAGTAGGCAATGCTGGCATGCTTATGCTAATCACATGCTTGAGAACTAAGTCAGCTAACCCTAGAAACCACTGACAGGTGAATTTCAGTAAACCTAAGCCTTAGATATAAAAACTAAGACATAAAGGAAAAAATTTCCTTTTGAAGTGGGAAATGAGGTTTAATATGCCTGTGCTTCTAGAGGACTGTTCAAGGTGAGAGTAGACCACTTGAAATGAGCTGGAGTAATTTGCTGTCTTCTGATCAGAATGAGGTGCATGGTTTAAATTTTAATAAAGAAAACAGTTGACTGTGAGAATGTCAAATAAACTCTTCTGTGGTGTTGGTATCAAAGCCTGACCTTTATGCACATGTGAGGCAAGTTCTATATCTTGGATGCACATGTGGCTTATAGGCAGTTGACCTTTTTTCTTTTTCTGTGACGAAATCTCATGAAGCCCAGACTGGCCTCCAACTCTATGCCGCTGGGTGTTCACATGTCCTCTGCTTTTTTCCGCTGCAACTTGTGCAGCGAATTAAGTTTTAGAAAACAGTAGGACAATGAAATTCTTCCAAGATATCAAATTCATAATGTAGTCTTCCTGTATACTTCTTAGCGGGTACTCAACATGAAACCCAGGCTGCCCTTAAACCTGTGGGGTGGTGCTTTCTCTGCTTTAGCCTTCCAAGAGCTGGAATTAATAAAGGGTGGGCTACCACACCCAATTGTCATCCTTTCTTATCAAGGGTCTGTGGGCAACCTGTGTAAACCTTCTTATATAAGACTGTGTCTCCATTTGTCACACAAGGAGAGCAATGGCACCTGTAGAGGAATTGCTCAGGTGAGAAAGGATTTAAACATATGTTCAACACCTAGTTTTTGCTTATAATAGACAGGGTGAAGAACTCTTTCTTTGTTCATGGGGCTGGTTCTGTGGATTTAACACCTAGCTTGCGTTTCCGCTTTATACGTGACACCCATTTGTGTTGACTCATGCATCTGATCCTGTTCTCTCTAAAAGGTTCTCATAGAGGATTGTATTCCAGTACTGAAGAGGTACGCCAAAGAAGGGAGAGAGTTTGATTATGTGATTAACGATTTGACAGCTGTCCCGATCTCTACATCTCCAGAAGAAGGTAGATTTTGTTTTGCGTTTTTAATTCTTTATGTGTATGTACATGAACATGTGTGAGTGTCTACGTGCGTGCATGTGTGTGCGTATATACACATTCATGTGTGTGTGTGTGTAGAGGACAATGGTCAACCCTGAATGTCCTCTTAAATTATATTCTACCTTATTTTTTTTTTTTTTGAGAAAGGGTTTCTTACTGAGCCTAGAACTTTTATCGAGTAGGCAGTGCTGCCTCTATCTCCCCATCACTAGGATTGCAGAGGCACATGCTACCATGCCCAGCATATACGTAGATGCTGGTGATCTAGAGGACTGTTCAAGATGAGAGTAGACCACTTGAAATGAGCTGGAGTAATTTGCTGTCTTCTGATCAGAATGAGGTGCATGGTTTAAATTTTAATAAAGAAAACAGTTGACTGTGAGAATGTCAGATTCTCATGTTTTAGTTTTGGTTTTATTGCTGTGAAGAGACACTATGACCACAGCAACTCTTATAAAGAAAACATTTCATTGGGGCTGGTTTATAGTTTCAGAGCTTTAGTTCATTATCATCATGGAGGGAAACACGGTGGCAGACATGGTGCTGGAAGAGCTGAGAGTTCTACTTTTTTTTTTTTTTCTAGATAGGGTTTCTGTGTGTAGCCTTGGTTGTCCTGGACTCATTTTGTTCTATCAGGCTTGCCTCGAACTCACAGATCCACTGGCTTCTGCCTCCCAGAGTGCTGGGATTACATGTATACACCACTGTACCTGGCTGATTTCTACTTTTTGATCTGCAGGTAGCAGAAGGAAACTGTCACACTAGGCATAGCTTGAGCATAAGAGACCTCAAAGCCCTCCTCCGTACCGACACACTTCCTCTAACAAGACTATACTTACTCCAAGACCACACCTCCTAAAAGTACCACTTTCTGTGTGTCAAGCTTTGAAACATGAGTCTGTGGTGGCCATTCCTATTCAAAGCAGCACAAGTGCATTCCCCACCAAGCCATCTTCTCAACCCCTTTTCTCTTATTTGTTAGAAGTAGTTGAACTAGCATTGATGGTGGAAAGATAGCTTTAATTTCTTTCCTGCTCCTAATATGAAAGTACAACTTAACACTTCGAAAGGTTTAATAGTTTGTCCTGGAACTAAAATGATTGGGGAACATGGATTCAGGTCCGTGTAAGTACCATGTTCCAGTGTGGTAATGGTCTCATGTTTTTATAGTTGCAGAACAAAAGAAAGTCACAAATCATGATTCTTCAAATACATGGCAACAGTAAGTGGGTTACAGCAAAGCAGGGCAAGCTCTGCTGTAGAATTTTGGAACTGTCTGAAGACATTCTTAGATTTGGCCTTCGGTGAAGTTAGTGTGTTCTGTTAATATATATGAAAAAGGATCTCATGGACTATTCTCAAGGATGTTAGATTTGACACAGGCCATGAATGGCTATTAAGAAGGCTGTAACATTCTGTCTCTCCACAGCGAGGAAGTATCTCAGCTTTTCAGGGAATGTTGCTAATTTCGTCCTTCAAGCAACTTTCTTTTAGACTTGGAGTTCTGCCTTTGTGTTCAGTCTTTATTCTTTCTCTGAGATTGGTGCTGGGGATGGAGCCCAGGATCTCCTGCATATAAACAAGCTCTCCACCACTGAGATACCCTCCCAGAGCCTTATGTTGAGTCTTTTTTGGTGTTGTGATAACTGTTCTAAATAGATGTGCACTTAATTTTGACCTTGGTGTTTGTGTTGGTGTGTACACAAACCAGCTATATGATTGTACATTATTGTTCATGAACAAACTTTCAAGCTCATGCTTCTTTAGATATTTTTGTATTTTATTTTATTTAATTTTTTTGGTTAGAGTCTCATGTAGTACAAGGTGCCTACATGAGTCAACCTCACTATGTAGCCAAAGATAATATTCAGCTCCTGATCCTTTTGCCTCCCCCTCCAAAGTGCCAGGATAATGGGTATGTACCAACACACTGGGGTCTCTTCTTTCGTATGACTATGAATAAATATTTGATATATGAAAACCATATTTATGAAACTTAACATTTTCTACATCCAGATTCCACATGGGAGTTTCTCAGACTCATTCTTGACCTGTCAATGAAGGTTCTGAAACAAGATGGGAAGTACTTCACACAGGTAGACCACTCAGTCCCCATACTCCCCTCCTCTGACTGTCAATAAGCATCAATATTTGTATATTTGAGTACATGGTTTTTAAATTTACATATGTCAGGAGAACAACAATATCTTTGAATTATATTTGTTCAAGCAGTAAGTTTCTATGTAGCTAATCTGTCATCTTTTGAGAGTATATTAACTGCAGAAGACTAGATTATCCTAATTTTGTTGGCCCTGGTTGTAGTATGTGATTGCACCAGCAGGTGGAGACATAGACCATCTCTCCCCCAACCCCGCTCTTTAGGCACATCTCTAGGGAAAAGCCCATCCAGCAGTGCACCTTTGATAAGCATCTTTGCCTGTAGTGTGAACTGCAGACACCAGATAGAAACTGATTGTTGCTTTGTAGTTTTTTTTCCCATTCTTTAGGGTATAAGTGTGTTTTTGGTATGTGCATAAAGTAGGTAGATACACATTCCTTGCTAAAAAGTGACAAAAGGCAACTAATTGTTAATCTAGTCTCATTACTTAGTATGAAAATCAATTAATTAATAACCAAGTTCAGCACCTGCACTCTGGTCTCTGAATTCTTCTGGGTTTACTGCAGAGTATTCCTCATCTTACCACATACAAACTCTACAAACTTTTTGGTTTTTACTGAAACAAGTTTATTTTGATTGTGGACCATCATAAGCAGAATTCTGTTTTTGTCCCATGTTCATAATCCCCCAAAAGACTTTACCTTGTGACCAATTTTATATTATATTGATTTCTCAGTAACTAATTTTAGTAAAATGTATGTTTTATTTTTGCTAAATATTATATGCTACTTTTATTAAAATACTTACTTTTTACATGCATGTGTTTCTGTGGGTATATGCATGAGAGTGCAGCTACCTGCAGAGGCCAGAGATTTCAGATCTCCTGGATCTATTAGTTACAGATGGTTATGAGCCTCCTGAACTGGGTGCTTGGAACTGAGCTCCGTTCCCCTGCAAGAACAGCAAGTACTTTTAACTGAGCCAGTATATTTTAATGTAAATATTTTTTATTAAATCCTGATATAACTACTGATGCCCCTCCCCTTTTCTCCACCTTCTGTCATGTACCCCCTTTCCTTTTTCTCAAGTTCATGGTCTTTTTTTTCTTTGTTGTTAGATACATATGTACATATACACAGATGTACATATACTTACACATTTACATAAATACAACCTGTTCAGTCTGTATTATGTAACATATGTGGATATATACACACAAACATAAATGTTTTTAGGGCTGATCATTTGGTATTGTATAGCCAATTGGTGTATTCTTCCCTATGCAAGACTGTTTTTCCAGCTTTCAACATTTCTTAGTTGCCTGTCATACCTTGTTTAGGGTTGGGGCCCCATGAAATCTCTCCCTTCCATGTTATTGTCTCTTGTCAGTGTCATCCTCATTCAGGTGTTCTTTTGGCAGCCATAATCATTGAAGTGTCATGGGTGTAGCTTCCCTAGCATTTTTAGGAGGCACAATGAATGTCACAACAGATTTCTTGTTTTTTTTTTTTGTTTTTGTTTTGTTTTGTTTTGTTTTTGTTTTTTTGTTTTGGCTCTTAAAATCTTTCTGCAGCCATTTTTTTTTTTATGGTGTTCCCTGACCCTTAAGTTCAGGAACTATACTGTAGGTGCATCAGTTAGGCTAGTTAAAGTTTTTTTTTAACTGGAATTAACTTTTTTTTACTGATTTATAAAAACATAAAAATGATCATTCACAGAGTTACCATGTGATGTTTATCTACATGTAGACATTGTCTAATGTTTAATCAGGTAAAGTCCACGTATCCTCTTAAATGTACATCATGTGTTTGTGGAGAAAACATGACACTTTTTTCTTGCACCATTTTGAAGTATATGGTACCCAATCCTTAGCCATAGTCAGCCTATGCTGTATAATTGCATGGCAGAATTTATCATTCCTATTCAATTGTTACTTAGTACCCACTGATGAACTGCTTTTAAAGATTGTTAGTATATTTAAACACCCCAAGCAGGGAGAGGTCTTATTTTTTTTTTCCAAAGGAAGCACTTACATCCTGATTCTAGAGTACTCTGTCTGTTTCATGGGGTCCGAAATGACGAATGCTGGAGAGAACATAGAATACCTGAAACACCTAAAGCTCCAGCTTGTTCTGTTTTCCTCCTCTTCCCACTGTGTGCAAAGCCTGTGTGTACATACTATCTTAATGCAGGCTCTACACACAGTGGACCAAATATGGCTATCTGTTCTGTTTGTTGTTTGTTTTTTGTTTTTTGTTTTTTTTTTAGTTTGTTTGTTTTTCAAGACAGAGTTTCTCTATAGCTTTGGCTGTCCTGGATTTGTTTTATAGACCAGGCTGGCCTCAAACTCACAGAGATCCACCTGCCTCTACCTCCCAGAGTGCTGAGATTAAAGGCATATGCCGCAGTGCCTGACTGTTGTTTCTCAATGAATAGCCATGCTCATTTGTTTTGTGCTCCAAAAGCAGTGAGGAGTATTGCGGGGAAGGCCTCGTGGTCTGTGCTGTCTTAAATGTGGTCTGTTTGGCCCTTAAAAGAGGAAGTTTGCAAGCCTGTGTTTTATGTAGGATGTAGATGGTGAAACTTGCTCAAACAGTGTTTTGTACTATAAAAGGAGTGCAGATTCAGTTATGTTGGGCTTTTGGGAGCATATTTACTGTATTGCCCCCCCCCATATCCATAGCTAGAAGAAAGTCTGATGCAATTTAATTTAGTAAACATGAGGCTCTAGTGTCTAATAACCAAATAGAGACTTGCCAGAACTTGCGTGTCTTGGTTCTAGAACTCTGACTAGGGGTGGTGAAGAAATGATAACAAGAAAAAACAGGGCACCTCTACATGGAAAAGCTGTGGTCAGGTAGGTTGTGGGCATTCTGATAAGAGTTGAACCAATTACTGCAAGAAATCTGGAACCTCAGTGTGTTTTATTATGCACAGAAGAGGAGAGAAAAGTTAGCTAGGCTTGGTAGGAAGTGTCTGCTTGGTAGGTAAGCAACCTCGGCTTGACAACAACTGGGAAGAAGTTGTTGCTAGTTTTGTACACATTGATCACGAACACTCAGACCTCTGAAGAAGACATTTCCATCTTCTGAATCTCACCTGAGGAAGACTTTTTTTCATTCTCATGGGGCTAAGGTATGCCCATGTGGACAATACTCATTCACCCAGGACTTCATTTATGCAGGGCTCCCTCTGCTCCATTACGGAGAATGAAAACAAGCTAGGTGTGGTCGCATCGGCCTGTAATCCTAACTATACATGGGAGGCTGAGGCAAGGAGATTTAAGTATAAGATCCTCTGTGATCTAGTCACTTTGGAATAGATGAAAGATGGCATTGGAAAGTGTGATGGTTTTGTTCTTTGCCTGCTATAGGGATCTGGAGCCTTAGTGTGGGAAACTAATAGAAATGTTCCATGAGAATACAGCATGTGCAAATACTAATGCTAAAACTTTGAAAACTTGCTTTTGTGAACTGTTTTTTTTTTTTTTAAACTCCCAGATCATAAATCCAAGGCTGTGTCCTTTGTCAAGAATTAATCAAAAGACATCACTGCATGCACTCTGTCCTTTCATTCACTACAACTGGAGATACAAAGTGATACCATTTTATGATAGCCTGGGGTTGTGTCTTATGTTTTTTGGTGATATGTGTCACATGCTGAAATTCACATGGGCATAAGTCTTGCAGGAAACCATAGTCAATACTATTCATTTGTTCATCTATCCATCCATCCATTTTTTTTATTCACTTACGTATGTATATATGTACATATGTATGTATGTGGTGAATTCCTGCATGATAGACAAGAATATTAGCACTGACCTATATCTTTAGACTCTGGCTATGTTTTTTTCTTTTTTTTTTTTCACTGTACAATGATATGCTCAGGAGATAACTCTTGATTCTTGCTGCCCCTCTTCTGCTCTTGGCTGGAATATGTAGCAGAAAAATGGAGGTTAATGATGGGATGGGGATATTATGTGGTGATTTGCAAAAAGTAAATGTCCATACCAACACATTGCTTGTGTCACAGTGGGAAATTTGTAACATCAGTGGTGTGTTACTCTGGGGACTTGAAGGTAGCCTTATGATCATGCTACAAAACTTGAGCATGGGAAGGTCATACGGGGAGAAGAGGGAGGGTAGGTGGGAAAAAAAACTTGGGAATGTACATTTTTGAGAGTAGAAATAACGTACTTGACTACCTTCCTGCTGTCTCCAACTTCCTACTTAACAAAACAGACTGTCAACTACATACAAAAATGTGTATGTAACATACAGAGAAACTACAGTGAAAAATGTCGCAAACTCCTGACCACTCCCATAACCTTGAACTGCTCATTATCAGTACTTTTCAGGCATCTATAGTCCTCACTAAAACTTTCTGCTTTCTGGAAGCAATTGATTATTAGCATCATTTGAAATTTTTCTTGACTTAGTTTTGTTTTATTTTTCAAATTATGTGTGTGTGAGTGTGGGTGCCTGTGGAGTCCAAAAGAGGGTGATTGCCTGGGGCTGGTGTTAGAGGTATTTGTGAGCTGCCTGACATGAGTGTGAGAAACTGAACTCTTGTGTCTTCAGTATTTCCAGTATGTGCTCTTAACCGTTGAATTGTTTCTCTAGCCCTTTTAGCGTCAGTTTTTCTGTTTAGTTGTTTTTTTTAAAGCTGGGCGTACTGGGATAAGCCTTTAATACCAGCACTCAGGAGGCAGAAGCAGACGATCTCTGAGTCTGAGGCTGGTTCTGGTCTATGTAGAGTCCAAGACAACCTACATAGAGAGACCCTGTCTCCTAAAACAAAAACCATAAAAAAAAAGAATATGTGTGTGTATGTGCATGTGAGTGCCACTAAGATCAGATCCTCTGCAGCTGGTTGTGAGCTGCCCAGCATGGGTCCTGGAGTCTGAATTCAGGTCCTCTGCAAGAGCAGTAAATGCTCTTAAGCACAAAGCCATCTCTTCTGCCCTTTAGTGTCAGTGCTCAAAATTTTTTTGTACATTCTGTAGTTCACATAAGTGTGATTTATTTTTTTTACTATTTGTTTTGCTTACTGAAAAAAGATTTGTTAGTTTTAATTTTTGTGTATATATTTGTGTGTTAGTGTGTGAGTATATACTGGCAGACTAGTGGTATTAGGTCACCCTGTAGCTGGAGTTATCAGGCAGTTTTGAGATGTTCAACGTGGGTGCTGCAAACTAAACTTCTCTTCCGTAGAAGAGGAGCAGTAAGTGTTCTTAACCACTGAGTCATCTGTACTATCCCTGCTTCCTACTTTTTTGAGACAGTCTTACTATGCAGTGTCGGCTGGCCTGGAACTGGCTGTATGGAACAGGCTAGCCTTTAACTCACAGACATCCACCTGCCTCTGCTTCCTGAGTGCTTGGATTTAAGGCACATGCCACCACAGCCAGCTAGTTTTGCATACTCTCGGACTTAAATAAAAAAAAAGAATTTACACTACAAAATAATAGAAACTGATGTAAAGTTAAAAATGTTAACATTACAAGAGTCTATAAACTAAAAAAGCAAGTGTTATTTAAGTGTAATATGAAACAAGGAGAATTTTCTACAACCGAACTTGCTGAGTTATTGGGTAATTATTTCTTTGCAGTTAGGTTTTGTTTTGGAACTCCCATGTGTCTTTCCTAAAAAAAGTTCTATTTATATAGACAAGAAAGTGAAATTTATAATGTTCCTTTTTTGGGGGTAGGATTCTATTTGTGGAGTTTCTTCGTTCCACTTTTCTTTTGAAAAACTGCTTCCTGACAATGTTGGGAAAGAACAAATTGAAACCTTTCAGTTTGTGTACCACATTCTCAGTAAGGAGGTCCCGCCCTCCCATATATACTCTCGAAACACACAGCTGGATATCAGTTTTAAGATGGCAGACAACCATTCGGCTGCACACCTTGTTGGCATTTCCGTTCTGTATAGCTTCCACAGCGGGGATGTGTTCTAAAAACAACTGCACAGTGTTTTCTATTTACGAATTGTAAATTACATGTGTGGTGTTTATATGCTCTCATGGTGAACTTGATGTTGAAACCAAATTATATGCTGGTGAAGGGCACCGGCTAAATCCCACTGCAGGACCCTAGATGATGGGTTATTAAACAGGCTGCCACTAAAGGATGACGTTGTGCTAAGTGAACGTGCTAAGTTAAAACCACCAAGGCCGTTTCTTGGAATAGTTCTAACCACCTTTTTCATGGCTGCCTGCTTGGTTTTAAAAGGCTGGTCTCAGAAGTTCTGACATCATAGGCTGCCTTTGTGAAGAGTTTTCATCTCACGTTGTTCCTTGCTGTTTGGAAGCAAATGAATGGTATCAACATGAACATTCCATAGTTTCAGATGTGTTCACAACTGGGGTTTTTCCTTAGCACATATATCCTGAACAAATTTATTGTTGTCTTATTCCTTAAAAAAATTGTCACAGAGGGCTAATGTGATGCCTCAGTGGATAAAGGGGGAGCCTAACAACCTGAGCTTGATTCCCAAGAGCCACATAAAATGGTGGAAGGAGAGAACTGATTTCACAAAGTTGTCCCGCAGACTGCCATCCATACTCGTGCCATAGCACATGAATGCGTCATGCCTACACACAATAATAAACTTTAAAAATTAGAACTTGAGAAAAGGATGAGGAGTGAATACAGTTGTGTGTCAGACTTAGCCTTTTAGAAGGACTGTACTTTACATCATTGCAGAAAGTAAGAAAATTATCATTTTGACATTTCAGTTTCACCACAGCTGTGACCATTACTGACAAAAAAAAATTTACTTTGAGTGGGTTATGTGGGTGAATCTTGCTAAATTGCATGGTGTGGGTACAATGAACTGTGTCACTAATGAGAAATTGGCCTCACTGCTTTCTATTGCTTCATACTTCAATAATTTGAAATAGCTCTGTAAATGAGGTAGAAAGAGAATGAACTAATGAGTCCATAAATAGAATTCATTTCAGTTTGTGGAAGTATAGAAGCCTTATCTCATTTTTTTAAAGATGAACTTTTATTTCAAGCTCCAATTGTTCTCCACTTATTAGAGACCTTCAAATGGGTATGACTTAGAAATCCCATTGTTTGCTTTTCTCTCTGATTTAGGGGAACTGTGTCAATTTGACTGAAGCCCTGTCGCTCTATGAAGAACAGCTGGGGCGCCTGTATTGTCCTGTGGAATTTTCAAAAGAGATTGTCTGTGTCCCTTCATACTTGGAATTGTATCCTTTGACCATGACATTATGTGCTTGCTTTTCAGACCATCTAGGTATATTACATACTGCCATTATTAATCCTAAAACAAACAGAATTAGCTCTTTAGTGTATAAACTCTGAGTCTCAAACTTAACTGGGACTCCTGGGAACTTGGAAAAAAAATGGGCTTCATTTTTGGATTTTGGAGACTGGGATGTTCCTTGTCATAGCTTTCCACAGCCTTTAATCATTAAGCCCCATTGATATAAACAGAAACAATGATTGTCAAAGATAGGCATGCATCACCTGGGAACTAGTTAGGCAAATTCTTCTATCATCACCCTTCCCAATCAAAAATGTAGAGGTGAGGACCAATGACCTATTTCCTCAGTTCTCTGGGGGACTGATGTATGCCCAAAACCTAAGAGGCATTTATGGGATTCCCAGAAACCTGCATATCAAAGAGGAAATGAGTGATTGCCATTGTAAGCTGGCTAGCAAGACTAGACATGTCTATATTATAGTAAGCAGTCATCAGCTTCTTTAGCACAAGCTGAATCTAGGTTTCCACGATGGCAGTTTCTTTTGCTATCAGGGAAATATCTCAATGCTGCTGGCCCTGGGGCTGCCTCCCTATGGCTTGGGCAGGCAGGCTGCTGAAGCTACATGCCTGCTTCAAGATAAGAAGTGCCTAAGTACTCTGCCCCAAAAGGGGGATATTCTGCTTGCTGGGCAGCCATGTCCCCTCTATGGCCTGTGGACATTTAGCATCTTCTCTGTCTCTACTGCTCCTGTGTTCTTTTAAGAATGTTCTTTATGCTTAGAGGTTTGAGTGTGGTTTTCCTCCTACCTAGGGGCTGTGTCTTAGTAGCCCACAAAGTCAGGAGAGGCTGGAGACAAGAGGCATGCCTGGAATGGCCTGCAAGAACTATACAGGGATCACACACCCGGAGAAGAGCTGATGGTTAGTTCAACTTTACTTCCAGAGAACACATTATATATACCCCTAGGGGAGTGGTTGGGTGCTTCAAGGATAGGTATACATAATTCGATGAAACTAGGCACTTCAAGGATCCCTGATTTGTATTATACAGCAGGCTCCTATCATAAGAGTAGAGGGTCACTGCTTAATTAGCATATGGGTAGGCAGAGGAAGGGGAGAGTTAGCATGGAGCTGTGTCAGAGGCCATATATCAAGTGTAGCTCAGGGAATCTGTTAACTAAAGACACTCTGCAGATGAAGTCAGGCAGAAAGCAGGAGACCCTTCCAAGGGGAGGGAGTACTGCCTTTAGCACCTATAATAGCTGTCTGGTCCAGGCAAGAATTGCAACCCCAACCAACAGGGTACCTCCAACATATGAGGAATAGGGATAATCTGGGAGAAGGCTTCTGGGTCTTACATTCCCTTTTCTTTCTGTTCTACTCTTTCACCTTTTCAAGTTTTTTTTTCCCCTTTAATTTACTCTATTCTATTTTCTTTTTTCCCCTCGTACTGACTCTTCAAACTTTGGGGAGACATTTAGATTAGAAACAGTAGTGTTACCTGAGAGAACTGAATGTACTTTTGGTCTTTGTTCACTGGACTCCCTTTCAGATGTCCCAAGTGGTGGATTTCCCATACTTCAAAGTGGTCTTTTTAAAAAGCTTTTTTGTGTTATTCCCAGTATTCTGTTCTGCATACACACATTAAGTGGTAATTTTCCTCCTTGAATGGCCTTCCTTATTCCTTGACTCCCTGTCCAGGTGGGTATTTTACACTGTTTGGAAGAAAGCTAAGCCTTAAAGATGAGCATTCCTTGAATGATGCAAGCCAACTTCCTGATCCCCATATGCTGTATATTCCATCAAATGAGTCAGGCAACTGTTCATAAATTTCTTCAATTGTTTTTTGTTTTTAATTATTATTTTTAATTTAAAAAAGCCAATGGGAAAATGTATATTTTGATGAGCTAGGGTGTTCATTTTTAAAAGTCAGCCGAAGGACAATTAGACAGCTCAGCAAAGACTATGGAATGCACTGACCCCCTAGAATGTGATTTTAGTATCTTTTTTTTTCTCTGTATGGGGTTTGGGTTTTAATTTGGACATGTGGAGGAATGAACATCATTGTTTTGTTTTGGAGAGAAGTTCCTGATAGTGTTTCTCCCCCCTCACCCCCAAATTGACTTAGATATTAAAATTTGGTGCTTTTGAAAGTAAAAAAAAAATAAAATAAAAGAGTGATTAGCATTGCTTCAATTAAAATTACAAAAGATACCTTTATGTGTTTGGTCACTTTATTTCAGCCTATTTTCCTGTGTCTTATCTCTGACGGCCTAGAACAAAGGTATACTTTAGATTTTTTTAGTTCTGTAACTGTACTCATGTCATAATGTCTTAGTAAAAGGCCTTGGAACCCTGGTGATTCTAGTAGTGACTTTATTTATCACAGTGGTGAATGACTCAAAGCCTAATCTATATTTGCCACTTTTTCATTATAAAGTCGACCTGAGGATAAGCAGAAGATTTTTTTCTGACTGAAAAGATGAAACTCAAAAGATTATTTCTTTTACCACTCTCACTGATGAACTAGATGTAAATATAAAGATCTTTATGGTAGGATGTGCAGATGCACAATAGAGTTCATGTAGCAGCCTGGTCTACAAAGTGAGTCCAGGACAGCCAAGGCTATAAACCCTGCCTAGAAAAACCAACCAACCAACCAACCAACCAACCAACCACCCAAATACATAAATGTGTGCTCATGTGGATATCATACTGTATTGTGGATAACACTCCAACCAATTTGAATTGTCTATCCTGTAGTATGTGTAAAATATTTATACTACATCAGTGGAATCTGTTCATTTATGATATTTTTACAGTAATTGAAACACTGAAAATTTAATATGAAATCAGGCTCAACACTGAACATTTTTCATTGTATCTCCCAAGATAGGAACAAATGATATAAGGTATAACAAATGATCTAAGTGAGTGCTGACCTGTGCTGTTTTTATTGGATGGACATGGAAAAAGAAACAGGATAGAATAAAAGGAGTTGAGAGTCATGTTCAAAGTCTGATGAATTTCTCTTCTTCTGTAGTTGCTTCAGGCTGACATTGGGATGGAGATATTGGAGACCAAAGAAGACTGAAAGGCTAGTCAAAAGCTAGGCAATGGGGGGGCTGGAATGATGGTTCAGAGGTTAAGAGCACTGGTTGCTCTTCCATAGGTCCTGAGTTCAATTCCCAGCAACCACAATGGTGGCTCACAACCATCTATAGTGACATCTGGTGCCCTCCTCTGGCAAGCAGGCAGAACAGTGTATGTATCAATAATAATAAAAGCAGCTAGGCAATGGGGCACCATCTAATTAGCCATCCAGTTGAAGAGACAGGGAGCCATCGCATCAGCTGGACTGGTTTATTTCAGCTTTCAGCAAGTCCGGATTTCAGCTTGCAGTCCATAGCTGAACCCTGAATGGAGGGAGTCAGTCAGCCAGGTGAAAATCTGCTGAGACAAATTCATACTAGAGACAGAAGTTTAAAAATGTCTAGTAAGTGGGGAAAGTGAGGAATCCCCAGACTAAGGGAAAAACTCATCTGGGGTCCATTTGAGCTATGGCAGATCCAGGTCTTCTGAATTTTTTGATTTCCTGAAACTCATGAATTTTAGTTTACAAAAAGTATATTAGTGTCACCATTGTATTGAGATTCATACTTTAGAAAAAAGTAAGATCTGCAAGATCCTACATCTGCAAGACAGCAGGAGAAGACTCATTCCACTGTGACCTAGTAAAAGCTATGGCTTAGGGTCAGATATATACATTAAACAGAGATGTTTTTAGCATGATGAGAAGCACCTTCAAGTCTATTTTCCAGAAGACATCCAAAGGGAAATTAAAATCTCAAGCTTGTGACTGAATAATAAGCAGGCATTGTTCCATCAGCTTATCCCAACTCTTGATCAATGTCAAAACAATGAACCCTTGCAATTTTATAACAACATAAACACAATAGCAGAGAGGCGGAGAGAAACCTGAAATAGCTCCCATTTTCAATGACTTTTATTATTACAACTTGTATTTGCATACCTCAAAACACTTTTTTAGACCCACAAGTCCTTTATAACTTGGCATTTACCAACCTTAAAATGCCTGTTTAGATCCTCCAATCTTCCTTGCATTTACCAACTTTGAAAAACTTCTTAGAGAAGCTTTTCTTCATAACTTTCATTTACCAACCTTGAAACATCTTCCTAGCTCCTCAGTTTTTTTATATTTTCACAACTTAAACTTTTATATCCTCAGACCTTACATAAACGTTATGTTGAAAGATGTCGATACATCCTGCTATTCACCATAAGACACAGGCAATTAACATGAAGCCTGTGAGCAAGGCAAACCAGTTTGCTTTATAAATAAGAGATCTAATACGTAGTAGTTTTAACTAGCTAATGAAAAGACCAATGAAATAACAGTGGAACTAATTGTCTGTTCTTTAGCTGCAGAGTTACCATTAGCTTAGTTTAGCCATCAATGTTATCAGAGACCAGAGAAGGATAAATTATAACCTTAATAAATATACCAGTTAAAATGACAGAGTCTTTGTACCACCTAGGTAGTTGTCCCTGGCTCCTGTGGTTTCATGGCATCATGAGCAGAGGCTGTCTGTCCATCAGGCACAGATGAGAGACTTTCTGGGGAACAAAGAACATGAGAGACTGATCTCACCTTGCCTTCAGCAATGTGAAACAATGACTATGCAGGTGTCAATAGCTTTGTCCACAGTTTAGGCTGAGCCCTAGAGGTGGGCCAGTTGGGGCAGTCTTGCTCAGTGGTTAGCATACCACAATCCAGAGTTGAAGTCATCTGTCATTGTGCCCAAATCTCAGAGACCTTGGGGAGGTACTGCCAGGATATTGGGACTCTATCATAAAATCTAAGTAAAATAGATTCCATATATATCAGATCCCTGACAAGCTTGAGGGCCAGTATTTTTTAGTTAATCTTTGTTTGTCTTTAGTTATCTGCTCTAAACTGCATCCTGTAAAACAGAATGTTATAGTCTCTAATTCTGGCAATTTCTGTAGTTAAGTGTTTAGGACCGTATCTATTTTAAGGAGATCCACATAGGCAAACTTTATGGTTATCTGTCCTAAGCTTAACCTTGAAAACATAAACAAGAGCCTAGGTAAAGCTCAATCTTGTAACCAACTGCAGTCATTAGCATAACTTTAAATGTATTTCTGAACTAAAATCCAAGCAAAACTTTTAATCATAGAGTTAATAGAGTGGCTGGCAAATCTTGCTGATCCTACCATATTGTATTATTAAGACTGAACAGCAAAAAGCTTAAAGGACAGAAATTGCATTTAGCACTAAACAGGGAACTGAACACAACTGGCAGCCCTCAACAAAGATGGCAGTAAAACAATGGCCCCACCCTCTTTATCCCTGACCGAACATGGCAGTCAGCCACATACTGTTACAGGCTGTGGTGGGCAATTTTAAGGATAGCCATTAAGTGTTGCTGATGGTGTTACCGCCTCCCAAGGTATAGCACTGTGGAGCATTTACAGTTTCTGGTAACCAAGTTCTAACATTGTAATTAAGTTTTAGAGCCAACTGCATAATAGAACAGTATAGAACAATTTTAAACTGTACTTGAAATATTCTGGCCCCAAACCTATCGGCCAGAAAGAAACAGCATTAATCCATTCATTTAGGAACTGGCAGGCAGGCACACAGTTCAAATCAGCCTGTTAATCTGAATAGAACTTTACAAACCAGGGCTAAATCACACAGCATTCCGCAAAAACACAACCCTGAATTTTATATATATATAAAATATGTGTGTGTATGTATACATATGCATATACATTTATATATACATATATATAATCTATAAAGACATTACTATAAAATACCTGATAAATTTTAAAATGTTTCAAAGCCTTAAACACATTTTTAAAAGAAATCTGTTTTTGCAATAGCAAAATAAATACAGTTTTTAGGTATGAAGTCACAAAGCATAACCATAATTTTAAAAGTCAAAACCAAATTTTTCCAGTGTAAACAATTCAGTCTCTAAAATCAATACCAAATTAAAATGAGACACCTTCTTAGTCTAAAATGAGATAGTATGATAAACAATTTATTATGGCTAAGAGGTTCTGTAATTTTTTTTTTTCCCTATCACACATCAAGTGACAATTTCAAGATGGTGGAGTCACATCACATGGCAAGTCACATGGTTACTATTTAAAATCATCTGTGTTTCTATAGATGTTACAAACACATATGTACACGTTTTAAACAACAGTTTGATTTTAAACTTTAAACATATCCAATAACTGTTAACCTATAATCAAAACATACAGAGCATATTAACCATTTAAGAGCAGTCAGAAATAAACATGTAATGGCCATACATATATTTAAAACAGAAAAAAAAATTTCCTTACTTCATTCAGCTGTAATTTCAAGCACTTTGTTATCTGTTGAATATATGAAAGGAGTTTGTTACTTGCTAGCAGTGTTGCCTGGGGATCCACATGCTGCAGCCATCCCTTGGTGTACCTCCTCACCTTTGTCATCTCATGCTGACCCCCTGAAGAGAAGTGGGCATCACCACCATTTTTCCTCCCAGAAGCCAGGCATGTACATGTACGGCCATTGTTGCCAGCCTGCCTGCCTTCCCAGCAAGCTCTTTTCCACCCACAACTAAAGGCTAGACGAGCAGAGCTTGTGGACCATCCTTGAGCAGCCTGGCCAGGGTCCTATGGCCAGCCTGGCCAGGGTCCTAAGTGCTTGAGCCGCTTTGACCCGTGGCTCTGCTGGCCTAGAACTAAACTCAAGTTTTATCCAATTTAAGAAGACTGATCATAAAAAAAACAAAGACAAGGACATTCATGAACAGAATGAAAATTTGGTTGACCAGAGAATTGCGGAAGTACCGTTTGCCATATATAGAACCAAAGAACCAATTTGACAGCTTCCAGGCTCTCCCCCAAACCAATGAGAACTGAGGTTCTCCCAATGAGGTGGCAAGAATGTCTTCTACACCTAGGGCCAGGGGATTTACAGAACGTCTGCCAAATCCAAGGGCCAGTTCCAACTCTTTGCAAAAGGAAACCAAAACCAAGAAAGACAGTAGAAACCAGAAATAAGGACATAGACACAAAGACAAAACATAAATCAGTATCTCTGAGACACAGAGACAAACAGCGCTCACTTCCTGGCTGGTGTTCAGCTCCACATGTGGAGGTGGGGG